TAAAGCTCAAACGAACAAACACATTCTCGGACGGAATGACGTCACGGATATGCGGCCTGGCCTTCAAGATCCTTTCAAAATGGCGCCTTCCGGTGTCGAACTTTTCACTTCTTTTTCATTAGGATCGCATCCATTTCAGAAGCTAAAACAACGGTGAGTAACTCAACTCAATGTGAACGTTTTATTGGTGATGGAAAAAAATACACGGTTTTTGGAGTGACCTACTCCTTTAAAGGCAAACCTGAATCTCCTCACCCCCGCCCCGCACGCCAAAAGAAAAAGGGGTATTACACTGGGATTTCCTTAATTACTTTGCATGAAAATGTTGAAGATGTCTTTGCTTTTCAAACACACCTGATTAACCAGCACTACTCCAAGGGGGGATGCTTGAGAGGTAGAGATACTCGGTGCGAACACCATGTGTTGAAGACAACGGATGACAACCGATGGAGACACCAGCTCTGACACTCGATTAAGAGGAACCATTAAATGATGCAAGTTCTGTAGTAAGATGTAATAACAAAAAGAAAAGATGAGAGGATACAAGCAAGAAGTACATTCAACTATAGGCGCCAGTTTTAGAGGGGACGTTTTCTTCTTGGAACTGTTACCACCAACACCTGTTAAATGGAGCTGATACAAAAATGTCTGAGGTCCGAAACCATCGGAGTTAGTTTTACAGTTCAAAATCACTGTTCTACTCTGAAGATGTGCACAATTTTCCTTATGTAATGACAAAGAAACTGAAGTTTTAAAGCGGGTTTTGTGTCATTATGCTGTACATTACGTTACGTATAATTATTTTTCTTAGCACTTTATAGAAAAATGATTATGGTAGTGTGATTTCTAAATGCCATTGTTACCTCTCCACTGAAGTCTTTTTTGATGAGTAATGAAATATTCCTGGTAATTGCCAATAGCACCGCCTCCATTTGAACCTAGTAAGAACCAAAGCATTCCTTCATTAAAAGGTATGATATTACAAAATAATAAGAAACCTAAGAATTTTACCAAACGGTGGCGACACAATGTTTCACTGTATTTTCTTAACCCACACACTTCAGCCATTCATCCATCCATTAGAACTAGTCCAAACACTCTTTAACCCAGGATGCTTTCCACTCAGTCAGAAATTTAAGAAAATATGAGTTCCAGGTAATACAAACAGTAAACACTTTTTTGATTTGCTCCATTGGACCATTCCAGGGAAAAAAAAAACGGTGCTTCTCAGGACTACTACTCTCTTCGCCCTAGTGTCAAAAATAGGTCCTGGCAAATTTAATACTGGGAAGTGATCCTGCATTGGACTAGCTTCCCATATACACTGTAGGAGGGGAGTAAAAATACTCCTACACGTAACTGGTTGATGCTACAGAGACCGGGATGAGCCTCGGCTGTATGGGCCACTAGCCTGGTGCAGACTTTACTCATGGTGCAAGTTAACGGAAACACAAGAGATCTATACAAGAAGCCCTACCGTGTTAAACATGGGTAGTGCCCTACTGAGAAGAAGTTTTCCTTTACGAACTGATAGAAATTGTACAAAGAAATCATCATCGCAGCTGAAAAAAAATAAAAAAGGAAAAGGTATGAATACAAGTAAGGATAAGAAATGTAAATATATTTTCGAGTGTAATGATCAAAGACGACAACGTAATGTCAGTGAAATAAACAGTTTGAAGTGAAAGACATCTTCACAGAAATGACCGTTCATTTGGTTTTCCACAAAATCTGAAAGACTAGATTACATTGTAAAGGACTAAAATTACACATACAGCGTACACCACGAAATATTGACATGGTTGGATGTCTCAGTGTGAAGGTACTGTAAGGCAAGTTACACCTCAAGTGCCAATACTTTAATTTCAACTAGATCCAATAAGGAAAACTGCTATTGTTTGTATGACAGTCAATAGGCCATATATTTGTATTCTCAATATCGCACTGGAACTGTAGCTCATGCGGGAGAATATCATGAAAAGAGAACAATGTCATCTAACCGCATTAGCCTCAGTTGCAAGCTAGTTTCAGTCTAATACTGAGAATAATATTATCATGCCATTCATAATATGGTCAATTTAGTTGACATACTTTGTAGAATCTTCAACAGAAAGTTTCAACAGGTTAAACAGCTTTGTCACAGTGAGCTGCCTGGTTTCGAAGAGTTCATTCCTGAAACGAGAAACAACATTAAATACATCTCTCAAAGGAATAGTTTCACTGCATGTATTGTTGCTTAGGTGTGAAACCAGTGTGTGAAGTTGTTTATAAGTGCAAGAGCTTTTAAGCCTTTAGCAAACCTTTATGACTTCATAAAATGCTAGGAAGTTGGAGGGGGGGGGGATAGACAAACATTCTTTGGCACTGAGACACAGTGTCCTACACTGCTGGAGATCACTCCAGTTTCTGTAGCATAAAGAAACTTGAAGTTTTGCTTCTCAGTCTGGATGGGATGCTAGTCTGCTGCAGGATACTCACCCCTCTCCCCCAGCATTTTATAGCACTCTCTTAAAACTTTGCTGTTAGCTAATTATACTCCTGGATGGAGAAGGGCACTGTAACAATAGTGTCTATGACCCTAGTAAGTGCTTGAACCTGCTCGATCCAGGTTCTAACATGCGATATGCTAATTGTAAGGTCACAACATATTTTGTTTGATTGCGCAAACATGTAACTCTGCAAAAGACACATTGGAAAACAAAAATGGCCTAGCTGTCTAGCAGGTCTTTAATAGTACATTGTGTAAGTACATACAGCTGTACATGCACATGTAAGCTCAAACTTTGTTACAATCATACCTTTCTTGTTCTTCAACATGAATTAACTTTTTCTCTAAACTTTCAATATTCAAAACACAATCATAGCTCTGGAAATAACAAGAAACACATCACAGCTTTTGTAAAACTTTAACATACATGTAAAACATGAATTGGGATTCAATAAATTCTCTAAAACTAAATGCAGAAAGCTTGACAAGGCCTCTTTCCCAATGACTCTTGTGGAAAAAGGTACATAGCTCTAATCAAAGCCACATCAGAAAAGGTATAGATACCAATAAAATCGCATCAGTAACAAATTTTGAGATTAAAGAAGTCTTTTCAGGACTTGCTTTCCATAAGTTAAAAACCTGCAGGGAGTGTTGATAACTGGTTAAAGAACACATAATTGTTGATGAGCCAATGGCGTAGGTATCCAATTACAAAAAGTTGTACTCAGATAGCTGTCACTTGATAACCAAAAATACATACCAGGGAACCAATCATGATCAAGAATTTTGTCATACATACCATTAAATGTATTATCATCCATCATGCATACATAACAAAACTTTACCTTTTCTATAGTAAGTAGCAGCTGGCTGCGTCTCTTTGTGTCCTTCATAGGGGTTGAACTGCCTTGTTTTTCCTGGTTGGAGTAAAAACACAGATTAATGACTAAATAGTGGCATTTCACCTAAACTTCCAATTCTGCTAATCTACAAAATTATTACTTAACATGTGCATTACATCTCTGTAGGAACACAGAAAATGTTCTCTCCTTCTCAAAAAGTAGCACAACAGATCATACATTGTGATTGTCTGGGTAAGGGTTGTTCTGACGACAAGAACTGTTGTTGGTGGCTGACATTTCCACAACCAGAACAGCAGTCATCTTGACACTGAAAATGAGTTCCACTTAGGCTGTTACAACAATTATTTTCATACCTACCTTCACTCAGACTATCAAACAATAGGAACATCTGAACCATTTACTATATTGGCACAACATTTTTTAATAATATTAAATAAAAATCTTTGAATGAGATGCAATAAGCTGAAAAAGGCAGTTTGTAACAACTTACCTGTTCTGATCCTTTACTGATATGCATCAAATCCACCATTTGCCTTGGATGCAGTACAGATGATGAGGACACCTTTCCTAAAGTACCTTGGAAGTCCACTGTGAAAGAGAAAACTCTCCTGTCAACTACAGTACTGTCTAAATGTTCAATAACTGAGAAACACAGTGGTGATCTTTTTCGTACTAGAAAGGAACACCACTAACAACATGTTTGTACCTAAAAACTACACAAAATATTCAACAAACACACCAACTACACAGGTTCCAAGAGTGCAAACATCCCAGTTATCTTCTTTCACGTGAAAAATGATCTTAGAACACCAAGATGAAGACACCACATGAATTGTTGACAGAGGAGCAAATTGTACATGTAATTTGTTTTTAGAGATTTTTCCAGCACACACTATCCATCAATAAATACATCTCTTCTTACGGTTTTGCCTTTTTTTATGTAGTGCTCACAATAGTGTCCCTTTAACAGTACATTTACATGTACTGTACCAACACTTTCTATTACATATTTTGTAATTAAGGTCATTTATAGGGGGACTACATTGTAAAAGCTTGTAAAGGTTTCTTTAGTCCTCCTCCATACATTCACATTTGTCTTAATTTAATGTGACATGTATTGACCAAAATGGAAATAAACTTGACTGACTGATTGATTAACACTTTTTTTCTACTCAATCTCACTCATCAACTTAACTAATCCTAGTGCTGTACATGCACCATTGTATGTGGTGCTCGGTACATTTCAATTTGGTTATAAAATTTATCACCGAGTTCAAGTGTGCCAAGCTTCCTGCAACATTTAATGTTGTTTAGCTCCCAGCAGGAGACTCCTATAGCAAACTGGTAGAGTTTCAGACTGGTGTGTGGAAGGTCGCTGGTTGAAAATAGTTTGATGTATCACATTCACACACAAGACTTGATTTGGCAAATTGCATCAAAAGTTGATGGTGTAATTCGACTGTATTGTAACCACACTTTAAGTAGCACTTACTTGGAGTGTAGTTCTTTTTCTCTCTTTCAAACTGTGGCAAGGCCATCTTCGTTGTTTCTCTACCTGTCTTGCTATCTTGATCACTATGCTGTACACCTTCAGTTTGCTTTGCCTGTTCCTTAGAAGCCTTTCTCCTTGTATAAGTCTGCACAAAAAAAGTGAAGCGTTTATCTACTAGTAACTGTAACCAAAATGACAGTTATCCAATTCATTGCGCCAATAATGATTATCAGAATGAAAAGCAGATTATAATGTTAACAAACCAATACAGCTATTTTTATCATTCTTTATTTATTTTATTTCTTGAACCTACTAACAATCTTGCTTTCTTAAATTCAAGATAAAATAAAGATTATTGTGTTACAATGTGATGTATATGATTATGTAAATCAAGATTTGGTTTGTTAACTTCTGATTAATTAAGGGAAATAAAACAAACCATGCTTTTCCTCATTGGTTAAAGCATAAAATTAAAACAAACAAACAAACAAACAAACAAAGAATCAAAGAGCAGAAAGAAACATTGCAACTGAATGAAAAACAATTTACCACCTGAGGCTTTGTGCTTGCAACGATTTTGTTTTCATACATTGAGGATCAAATGCATTGCAATGACATTACTAACTTGAAAATAATAATCATCTAGTTCTGGTTCATTGCTTGTTAGTTGAAGTAGCTGAATCTTGATCAACCATTCCTTCTCTCTTCTTGTCATGAGACCGGCATATGGATCATCTTGTCTTGGGCCACTCTCAACTGTATTCAATATACTGTGAATTTTCCTCTCTAAATCAGTAAACTGGTGATGGTGTTCACCCCTGTCCTGCTGTCTAGGTGAGCGATTATCATTGGAGAATCGGTTGTCATATTGTTGTCTTGAATAGTTCTGTCTTGGGTCCTGAAATCGTCTGTTGTGAAGCTGAGGGCTGACAAACCTTCCAGGGTGTTGTGGACTCATTGGAAAGTTCATCATGTTCCCTCGCATCATCATGTGGCCTGCAATGGACAATACAAAGATCAAAAAGGATGATCAGACTCTATTAAGCACTGACTTTTGTAATTTGTTTCTTGGACTTACAGCTGACAAAAATCTTGCACAGTACATGAAGCTTTACTTTGGGCACAACTTTAATCTAAAAGTTTAATCCCACTATGATAATTGCAAGTTCTACTGTTCATGAAACATTTATTCAAGACATATTCCACCATGTACACAAAAAAAATAGACGAATAATTCTTAAACTCAAATTCATCAAAAAATTCTCAAATTCTGAAATTCATAAAGTTTAGCAGAGGAAAAATCATGACAACAAACATACTGTGACTGTAGTTTGGAAAGATGACAATTTCACCATTAACCAGACTTAAGCCAGAATTTAAATTAGAAATACATTTACATTAGAAATGATAAGATTCAATTTAGATCTTCAAATTCAAACACTGAACACCATGCAAAAGTGACATCATAATTTTCAATCAAGCTTTGAAAAATACATGCAAACACGGTAGCATACACTGTATGGGAAATTAGAAATCCAAATCCTTTATGGCAGACACTACACAACACATATCCAAAACAGGTACATTTGTAAACCTGTGAAGCAATTTACATGTAACATGAACATCAACTTACATTGTATGATTTGGAGCAAACCTGTTTTCAACCAAGATTCCCTTTTATAAGATAGCACAAATGTAGTTTAATACCCACCAGGATCGGAGTGTATCATGGGATATGGATGTCTTGGAAAAGGTTGCCCTCTTGGTGTTCGCATCAAGTGAGGACTTGGGCCTGACATACCAGGCATAGGACGCATTCCATGCAATCCAGGAGTTCCAGGCATTCCAGGCATACTTGGAATGGGGTGCTTGGATGGACTGGGTCTGTGTTGAAACATATGGGAAGGTACTGGTGGTGTGTGCTGCAAACAACAATTATAAATATAATTAAAAGTCAATTTAACCAGAATCTCTCTCTACGTGCATGTATCCAATCCAATCCACCTTTACAGCTATAACTTGCATTACTTGTCTGTTATTTTGAAGTTCGTATTTGTGGCTGCTGCTTAGCTATCACTGATGACCATGGTACAATACTAACCATCCTGGCTGCAGGAGAATGAAAGCCTGGAGGTGTCATCATAGGTCTTGGAATACCAGGAGGTGGTTGTCCAATCATCAACTTGCGAGGTGTCTGTTTTGGCCCTTCTGGCACCTGTTGCAGAGCATCATCCGTTCCAGTAAGTTCTTTCTCTAAGTCCTCCAGTTTTATTGCATTTACAGGCTGAGGCTTCTTCATAAAACGACTTGGTGGTACAAGGCCTTGGCGTGGCACAGCTTGCACAATTGAGTCATCCTATAAAGACAACAAAAGGTGATGATCAGAACACAGTGAAACAATACAAGTATCTGATAAGAGTGCTGTTTTAGAAAAAAAAAAACCCTGTATCGCCTTACAATGATTTTCACTTGGGCATTGATACTAATTCACAGTTGATATGGTTTGGATTACTGTGCTATGTGATTGGCTTAAAATATTTGTGCCACTTTGTCAGCCAATCAGAAGTAAAACCCAAAACCAATCATGACTTACTTGCACATGTTTTCCTGCACTTCTCATCAGTCATTTTGCTTTGAGTTTTGATAGGGTCACTAGAATGTCTTTGTCCTTTGTCAATGGCCAAAGTGATTACTTTGGTTTTGGTTTCACATGTATGGCACTAAATTGAAAAGCATTCTATGCAAACCATCTACATGTACATGTACCAACCACAACTTCTTCACTCTTACAATAATTAAGTTTAAATGTAAATTCACATCTCAAATCCCATTTTATAATCACTGTTTCTGAGGAACATTGATTTAATTCCCAAACACCACATGAACAGACATCAGGTTCACCACACAAATCGCCTAAATTTACTCACCTCAAAGGCTGGTGAGAAAGGTCTTCTTGGCATGCGTTTCCTTTCTCCCTCTGCCTTTAGTATCTCTTGTAGTGGTGATGGCTGAGTATTCCCAGGTCCTTTGTTTGTGTTTTCTTTATCAAGTTTGGAAGGTGAGCCCCATATACTGGAGGATGGCGATATCTTCAAAAAATAATCAGTTTAAACACATAGTTTCCTAACAGAACAGATGTATGGATAGAGAATGGCTGAAAGATGTAGATCTATGTAAATTTGCAATACATGTAATTCAGAAAGGAAAGAGCTACAGTATTGTGCAAAACTAATGAGAGTGTAATTTGACGAAACTCGCGAATTTCGGGGCTTTTCGACGAAAAATGGCGAAGTTTTGTTCACCTCGAAAGTTCGAAGAAAATTCAACGAATTTTCCCGCTGCCCATTGTTTTCGTCGATGCGAATTTTCGAGCAGTAATTCGTGTCTACTGATAATTTGGCCTTATTTTTCGAGCCAAAATTCGCTCTCCTCCAATTTTCCTTCGAACTTTCTAGCAAAAATTCGCTCTGTTCCTTAAGTTTCCCATCAGTTCCCAGTAGTAAGATGAATTAAACCAGAGCAAAACAAGAACGCGCACGATAAAAACATTAATATCATCACGAGTGATAGTATCTCAAAGCCTTTTCTCACAAACTTACCTTGCTTATGTCCAGAGAGAGCTGATATACCTTAGTTTGTTAGTCTTAAAGCTCGCAAGCTCAAATGGTCTGTTTGCCAACCTGTTTTCATTGAACAAGAAATGCTACTCAAGAAAGTACTCACGGTGCAGCCACAATGAGCCTAGGCTCTGCGCAACCTTGCGATACTACCGTCAAAGGTTAGAAGCTATTATCGAACTATTCAGGCCAGTCTCTTACAGATCTGTTTAGCTTGGCTGAAGACTTTTTAACTAATAGTTTTAGTAACATTCAAGCTGTATTGATTGTTATAAATCAGTTACGCTTCCTCCCCCCGTTAGTGTTCATACAAAAAAAAAATCTTAGCGGGAGGGGTAGCATAGCAGAGAACTGTTGTCGTAAATAATGAGGTGCTCTTACATGGAAAATAATTCTAGGTGAGGTATTAAAATAAATGACAACACACACAAGTGAAGGTAACTTTTATTTAAACATTCGTGAATTGACCAGTAGGATGTTGGCAAATCCACCTAACACGTTGGCGAACAAGACGTTGGCGAAACAACTCATTGGCGAAATGAAGGATACCATGTCTTTCCCTTTTGCACTTGCCATCCAAACATCTCTGCACTTTTCCTTCCCTAATCCTGTTTCTTTGCACTTCCAACATGCTCCAGCGGGGTCGCATGTCTCCATCTCTTATTTACGAGTGTAAAATAAAGAGGGATTGTCGCGAATAATATACTATCCATCATGGCAGACGGCCAAGAACGTGGCGAATGTGATAACAGCTGAGGGGACTGGGCACGTGGAGACCTGGCACTAGATAAACAACATGTCTGCTTGTCCATCGATCACTGAATTTGATGTCACTTTGGATGAATTTTGAGGTGAAGTAGGCCTTCAAAAAGAGCTTATTGAGAATTTTACTTTCGTTCGAGTTTACCCGGACCAGCGGTCCGACTTTTGTACCTGCCTTGCTGGCATGGTGATGTGGCAAAGCTTAAGTTAGCGAGTTCGTGTCATTGAAAACGATCAAAGGATTCAAATTCTCTACGTTCTTTGCCATGAAAGACGGATTAACACATTAACAACAACGAGTTTTATAGAGGAGTAAAGCATCAACATGACCGCGATTGTTCACAAGAGAACGATACATTGATGGCTTGATACTGGTCAGCGCACTGCACTGCGATATTTCGCATATTGCAAATGGAATTATCCCTCTGGTAAGGAATTGTCGTTCTGGTCTTGAAAATGCCATGAATTTTCGTCCTTTGTTTTAAAGAAATAATGCTCAAGACACTGCGAAAAGACGCTTGAATTTTCGTGCGAAGACAAAGAACGAAATTCGCGCATTTCGCTCTCATTACTTTTGCACAATACTGTACGGTATCTTAAACTCCACCTAATGAATGATAGTGATATGTCAAGGAGTTTATGTGACTACAGTGGTAATGCCATGGAGAATAGCAATGAAAACAGAAATTTCTGCATGTACTGTACAGTACTGAGAATCTCTTGAATCTCCACATGAATACATTTTCAGTAAGATTATGGCTAGAACCATCCTCAGCTCAAAATGTAAACACTGCAGCATTACATTCAAAACAGATTATAAGGGGAAATTTGATGTCATGGTTCCCCACCCCCCTGGCCCCCACTCACACCAAAAAAAGAAGATTTGATAATTTCATGTTGTCATCTTGCAGCGGATAGTCAAGTGATGTACTGTATAATGCACTTGCTGGGCTTACTAAATCCCTGTTGCCATTGTTATTGTGAATCGTGTATAAAATCCCTATTAACCAGTGTCTGCCAACTACCAAGCAGTTTTGGGTTTTGTAAACTCAACCTAGTTAGTACTACAAATAATGTGCAATGCTGCATGCCATAATTATTATTAATATCTAAAACCAAAGAAACTGTGAAACTCTTCTTGACAACCCTCATAAAAACTGAAGAGGACTAGTACAGGTGTGAGTAACGCATAGATTCAGTCAGAGCCAATTACAGAGTAATTACAGTGTTTTTGTTGTTGTTGTTTTTTCGGTGTACATGTAGTATTCATGGCAGCATTACATGTACATGCACTTTTTAATACCAGAGTAATTATAATAATAATAAATTTATATACAACTGTGTTTAGTTGTACATGTATGTACCTTATGTGTCAAGTGTCAAGTGTCAAGTGAGTTATTGCATTGTGACATTGTATTGTGACTATTGTAGTGAACCTACAATACAATGTACTATGTATATTAATACAGTGTTAATGAAAGAGCTTACCAGATCATGTAATGATGTAGCTGAAGTTGGACTGGAGAGAGGTGATGTGCCATCCCAAGCTGGGTTTATACCTGATGGGTGTTTGATGTCCTGACAATAAAAGTAGAAAGTCATATAATTATACAACTTCCCCCTAAAGAATAATATATCTAGTACTTGATAAGATAATCAGACCTCTGCAGTAAGGTGAGGGCTAGACGCACTACTTGGACATGTACATACAATTTAAATTACTATTTCACGGTATGCTGATTTTTGTTTTGAGCACTGATCAGAAGTTTTGGAGAGATCCAATGTACAGTGTAAAGTGAACAACAATACACAAATAATTTCACAAAATACTGTAAACTTGAAAAATAAATTTACGTTTGACAAGAAAGAGAGACCTTTGTACCACATGTCAACTGAAGAATAGCTACCAAAGAACACATGTGAAGGTGAATTAATCAACATGACACAAGCATGGGACAAAGAACTGAGTCCTGTTGGGGACTCAGAATTTTTCTTTGTCCCATACTTGTGTCATGTTGATTAATTCACCTTCACATTTCATTACCAAGCTTAAAATTCACCATTGTTATCAACTTATCAAAAGAACACATGTCTAATACATTGGCCTGTCAAACAAATTAAGGGGGATAGACAAATATTAGATTTTATACCTTGTACTTTGATGAGACTCTGGGGATGGGTATAGAGTCACCTTCATCATCGTCAACCAGTTTGGTTAAGTTCTGCTCAAGAATTTCCTGTTCAATTAGGTTATATAAATGCAGTTAATACAAAAGGACTGTCTGGCAAGTCAAGGAAACAATATTTTGGAATAGATTTCCTTCTTCATCTACAGGAAATAAACACAAGTTTAGGAAGCAAAGTACATCTTTGGTTGTTAACTTGTGTTATATATGTTTATAAATCAATTTCTACTTTTATTGTACACATACGTGTACATGTATGCTTATTGGCTAAGTTACTGAAAAAGACACAAACAATCTTGGAGGTCCTGGGAATGATAATGTACCTGTACATGTTACAGCCACATATATATATATATTCACAGCTCAAAGCATAGGGTACCAAATAATAATTATTACCCAAAATGGATCAGGAAATCACCAATCGACAGCAATCACCAATACGGTGGCTTGCATAATAATTCGCTAACTTTACAAAACCCTCCCGAGGGGGGGATATGACAAAAGAAAAAAAGAGCTGAAAAATGATGGCTGGAAATAGGGTAATTTTCTCAGCTTCCGGTGTGCCAAATTTGCTGGAAATAGGTTCAAAACCGATTTTTTTTTT